GCTGAAACAAACTGTAAATTCTTTTGGCAGATTTGACCTTTTCCAGACAGGAACTCAAAGGGAGACTGAGTCATTCCAGGGACACAGCCTTAGGCTGCTAGAAGCCATGGTAGAGTTTGGGCAAGTGTCTCAGTGCAGGGGTTTGCATGCACCCTTCAAGCTGAGAGTTTTTGCAGTTCCCTGCAGACACTCCCCACCATGCAGAAGATAAGCTATAAAGCACAGCTTGCTCCAAATTCCTTCTCACAAAATTCTTTTACACTTTCCTTGTGTTCTCGACCTCAATGAGGGGTCTGGGGTCACTCGCTGTGTTCACATGACTGTGGGGAAGTGGCCATCTCACACTCACATTGGTATTTTGTACCCAGCTCACTGATGCCTCAGCAGAAACAACAGCAGTTCCTGGCCTCTACCTTGGGGCCTCTACCTGGGGAAGCAGGGATCACAAGGTAGGAAGCTGCACAAACACAGGACAGGTGTTCAAAAGATGCTGGGCAGTCACTAAGTGTGACAAATGTCCACAAACCATCAAAAGCCCTTGTCATATTCCCCCCCCCCCGCAAGTATGGACCTGATAAAAATAGCTTCTAAATTTTTCTTCCAGAATTTTAAAAAGATATGCTTCGTCTCTGCCCACTGTTGCATGTTTATTCTATTTTCTCAACCTCAATTACCGTATCAGTTATTCTTTGGATTGGGCATTTTCCTTTCCTCAGTACTGTAATTCCTGTCCAACTGTAAGACATTTCTTTGTCCTTGCACCTCCTACGGTTTTATATATCCCACACGAGTGTTTCCAAAAAAAGATTCTTTGAAATTATGGGTAAGATATAAAAAAACTTTTATAAGTTTAAGGGTATGGGTAAGCTTTTAAAAAATCTGTGAAGAAACTACAGTGCACTTTGATTTAAAGAGATTTTCATGGCAACATTGTGCCCACGTGGTTTTCAGCAGGAAATGTGGGGGGCAGTCTGAAGTTGGTACCAATATGCTATACAGTTACTTAAGAGGAAGAGCTGTGTATACCACACTGCTGCTAAAGTTAGCAGGACTGCAGGCAGGACTGTGTTATTTTTCTAAGATGTCTCAAAGAATATAACACATAAATATATGGACAATGTCATATGATAGTAGCTTTTCAGAAATAATTTGAACCATTAAAGTGAAAGCAACATAAGTTTACTGGAAACAATGAATTGATACCTCAGTTTAATTTTTCTTGTCTTTGATGCTGTAACAGAATTTCATGGCCTTCCACAAGTGACTAATGATGGGATATGCAGAGGAATATTGTGGTTTACATTTTAAAATCATCCCAAATTACCTGAATTTAACAGTTACATTTAATGGATTCAAATAAGTAGTTTTGAGCATATTACACTGGAGATGATAATAGCATCTTCTTTCAGAAGCTTTCGAATTACTTTATTATAAAGAAGCCTTATTATCCCCAAAACAGTGATCCAGGAAAAAAGTGCTGTAAGTAGCATCACAATTTTAAATTCACTGACTCCAAGTGAATTGCTCTAATTTTCATTTTTTACTGTGAGTAAAATAATACAGGAATTTGTCTTGGTAGCATGTGTGCTGCTATCAAATTCATGTAGGGAACTGGAAACTTTTTAAAAAGTACAACGAGTTTATTTTTTATATGAATTCTATCTACCTCGAAAAATTGGAATTCGGGAATGCATTTACAATTTCTTTTAAGATAAAATTATTATAGGTGAGATTTGAAAGTGTTGAAAACAATGGATAATAGAGGCCTAAAATGACCTCTAGCACATGAAGTCAAGCTGCTTTAATTACCTTCTTGATGGATATGTCTAACTGCAGGATGACTGGAAGGTGACACATTTGGAGTAATTTGAATCTTAAGTATGCTGTAGATGTAAACCTAGTCTATGTCAAAGGCCTCATTCTTAGTTTACACTGAGAAGTAGATTGATACAATAATATCAATCTAAGACTCTGTAAATGGGACCAAGTTCAAAGCTGACAATCTTGTCCTGCTGTTGAAAATACTACTTTTTGACATCCCTTAAAATATTCATATAGGATCTACTATTTTTCCAGGGACTGATCCCCCAAAATGTTGGAATCTGGTTATGAATGTGAATATATACCACTAGAGATTCCCTACATGAAGCTGACAACCAACACAAGTGAAACAGAATGTAAAGTCTTTTGGAACCCTAAGCCTCTACTGCCAATGCATGGAAGAATGTGGCCCAATCAAGAAGACCTCACACAATGGTAGCCAAGATGGTGGCATGGGCATGAGTATCATCGTGGTACAGTCACAAAGAACACTGCTCTAAGATCCTTGGAAATCACCTAGCCAAACTCCTTCGAAGTAAGGCTCAGAAAAGTGAACTGATTTGCTCAAGATCACATGTCGGCCTTCCCACCCCCCCACCCCCACCCCTGAAGGAGGGAACAGTGGGCCTCGGCCCTGCCCACCACCACAGCAACCAGGCGGACCCCAACCAATAAGCCCCAGGGCCCTTAGATGGGGGGCCAAGGGCCTTAGCCCCACCCCCTTTCCCCTTCCTCGCCCACCCCGGACAACATCTTAGAGTATACTTATTAAATACGAGTGTTCTATAGGGTGTGCAAAAAAACCCACAAAAACAAAAAACAGAGAAACCTTTAATCTTTCAGAAAAGGAGAAAAAATCTATGGTTATTAGAAGTGCGGGGAGGGAGAGGGGGATGGGAGAGATTGGATAAGGGGCACAAAGAGTAAGTATGATTTGTATTAACTAATAATATTGCCAATATTATTGATTTGATCAACATATGCTGTACACAGGTGATGGTATCAACATTGTACCTGAAAATATGTATAATCAATTATGCTTCAATTAAAAAAAAAGTGAAGAACTCTTTTACTCAGTTATCTGTATTGCATCATATGATTCGTCATTCCCAATTAACCATTCAATGTTATCTTTGTGTATCCAATGGGTTTTTCCTCGTAGAATAGTATTTTCAGATAACAGTAATTTAATCAAATGTTCCCCTCTGTTTGGGAAAAAAAAAAAAACCAGAGGTTGATATGGGTTATGTATAACTTAATCATATCAGTTTTTTATAAAATATATTAAATAAAGCTTAAGAGAACATATTTTGGTAAAGCCTGTTCCCAATGGAAAAAAAATAAAATCACGTCAGTGGTGGATGCAATTCTAAAGTCACAGTCTACCTTCTGGCCCAAGCCAGCAATCTGTCACCAACCCTGCAGCCTCCTTCTCAGAAGACAAGGCTACATAACATGCGGTACCAATTTAGGACAATGTATTCTGGCTAGGTACCCAACGAGCAATTATTCTGTGACTCTGATTAGTGAGAATAAAGTTATTTTGAACATTTCAGATCCCAAACTTAGATTTCAGCAAATTAATGTCTTATTAAGTTTTAAAAACACACACAAAAAAAATTGTTTCATTTTATACTTTCCATTTCCTTCATAAACCTGCTGAAAGAAAATGAGCCAAGATGCCGGGTACTGTCCAAGCTTTATTAAAGGAAAAGAATCCGACGGGCTGTGCTCAAAGTGGGGAATATCCCGGCGCTGCCCTAAAAATGGGGGACAGCACCAGGTGTGGGGGTGGTAGAGCTTATATTGGTATGTTGGCGCCAAGAGCTGCGTGATACCATCAAGGAGGGTCATTATGCTAATGTGGATCAGGGTGGAGAACTGCATACTTGCAGAAGCCAAAGGTGTTTCTGTTTAAGTCAGGAGCCTTCTCCTAGAGGGAAGGGAGGAGGGGAGGGGAGGAGGTGGGCGTGGCCTTTTTGTACTTGGGGTTGTCTAAAGTGGCGCTGGTTATGTTGCAGATCTATTACCTGCTTAAGTGGAGGTTTCATTGATAAGGATTAGAATCCTTAATCCCCATAAATATCTGTTTTTTCCCCCAATTTCATCACATTAGCTGCCCACTCATATATGTTCATAGGAATTCAGGGTTGCAAGGGAGCTTGGTTTAGTCAAAAGAAAGTGACTTTCCCTTTGTTACACATCCTTAATTTGTGAAATATATTTTTCTAGGTGGAGAGAGGAAGTGTTACATTGTGGAAAGAGTATCAGCTTTGAATAGAACAAATCCAAGCTTAAATTTATCCCTACCTTATATTAGCTTTATGAACTTGGGCCATTTAACTGGAGTCCCAGTTTCCTAATCTGTAAAAGTACTAATTACTTCCTAACAGGGTCACTGACGGGAAGAACTGTAATCACGTGCGTGAATCACCTGGCACGCAGGTTAGGCTTTAGGAGGTATTTAACAAGTGGAAACTATGATTCTCAACTAAAGTAAGACATGTAACCCCAAACTGCAAAAAGTATATTATTTTAGCCTTTCAAATTGGGAATAGCTTCTTGAAGATATTTATAGGTACATGTTGAGGAGTGATCTCTCTCCTGCAGTATCATTAATTTATATTACAGGACAGTGAAAATAGCCCACTGGGACACTGAGATAGAGCCCTGAGTTATAGTTCAGGTCCAGTTCCCTAATAGCAGTGTGGCCTTGAATAAGGCACTCAACCACTTGGATTCTGATTCCTCATTTGTAGAAGAAAATAAGGCCCAAAACACCATTGCCTCCCACCTTAAGGACTGACTAAAGGAAGCCATCTGCAAACAGGAAAGCGCTTTCCCACTGAAAGGGGCTTCGTGGTGAGCAGCTCTCAGGCTTCTGCACCCTCCATCTATCTACTCCCTTTGTCTTCGTTATTGATGTCACCTCAGTGACACATTATTAGCTGTTTATAAGATACTATTTAAATTTTCTTTGAATTTCATGTGCTGCTGTTAATTCTCTGTGAAGCTGACTGATTTGAAATGATTTAAAGTCTAAAGTTGAAGGTGCTTTGACAACTACAAACATAAAGGTGAAAAAACAATGAAATCATCAGAGCTCCTATTTATGACTCTTTTTACCAATACATATCCAACAATTGCCAAGAGTGAGGGAAAAAAAATGAGAAAAGGCAGCAAGGGAAAACAATATGTTTATTAAGAGGCATGAAAATGCATAAACTCATTTATAAATAAATGTAGTATAATTTACCCAGTGAAAAAATAGCTAAAATCCATGAGTAAACTGGATTTTATATTTGAAATGATTACATGATCAATCTCTAATAATTTCCCCATCGATCATGATCTATTAGTAGCAGGAATTTTACAATGACTATAGAAAAAGCTGTTACAAATAATCATGATATGGGGGAAATTTTTCGAGAATGCCCTTAAAATAAACCAGTGCAAACCAATTCAGATTACAAGGGATATGATAAAACCTGGGGCTTATCTTCAGAAAAGTAGAAAATAAAAATCCCAAACATTTATCCATTAAGAAATGAACAAGCAGACTATATTTTGATCAGTGAAAAATAATACATATGGATATTATGAAACATTCTTAACCAGTGATTGCAATAATTACATTTATAAATGTTTATTCAAGTACTAATGTTCAATAAACATTCAAATTCTCATTAAAAGTTAACACTAGATGCAGATACACCTAAACAATGCTTCTTTTGATTTAACAATCATGTCAAAAGGAGGCAAGTGGCCCTTAAAATACTGTTGGTTTTGTTAGTTTTTTTGTCTGTAAATGAGTTTTTACAGTCTGTATTTTTTATCTCCAAGGACCCAAGGAACATCTCAGAACAGCTAAGTAAGAGTCAGGTCTGTAAATTAACTCTCAATAGTACAGAATCAAACATTCCAAAACACAAGTTTAGCTAAAAAAAAAAAAAAGAACATGGGCAGAATTAATTTTCTTTGGCAAGAAATGGTTAATTCCTTACCAAATGTTGGTTTGTTGTTGTGCAGACACTATCAGAACACTTTTGTGGTATTTACCAAAGAGCTACTTCATAAGCTGAAAAGATTTCATAAACTATGTTACCGTAATAGCAATGAGGAGCTTATGTCTGAGTCCCGCTGAAATTAACATCATTTGCCTGATTACTGTTGTTAATGAGTCTTCCTTCAAAAAGTTCCCTTCTAATTTTGGCCTGAATCTCAGGCTTTAATAATAGTTCCTTTATGTGTTTCACTTTGGACTTCAGACCCATCCTTTCTCGATGCAAAGCTTCATTAATTAAGTTTCGGATTCCAATAGGTTTCTTGCCTAAGGAAAAAAAATTATATAATACATTTAACATACAAATACCAATGAAAAACATGAAATATGGCACACTGACTTATCAAAATAGGGTTAAAAAAACCAACCTTTAAAATGCCCACATTTTATAGAAAAGGTTATATTTCACCAAAAATATATCATTTACATGAAACAATTTACTGTAAATAAACCTCACTGTATAGCAGAACACGTTTAGGACAAACATGAAACATAATGGACTAATTGTACAGGTGATCATTTCAACAGTGATTATCTTAAACTTAGCACTTGATACCTGTGCGTGAATTCTGGCCTCAGAGTAGTCAAATGCTCTGCTAAGCAAATAAATGGCAGTATCCATTGATGGCAAGGCCTTCTCCACGGCCTTTCATTTGAGTCCAGGAGGCACAACCTCAAGTCCCCCTTCTGCCTTGTGCATGGCAAATGAAATACGGGCCATTCTTGTTTCATAAATGAATTTCCTCTGCTACTCCATTTCTCTTCTGTTGTTTCAGAAACGCAAACACATAGACCATGAAAGTATTGGGCAATCTCCGCAGACTGGCCAAGAGACATAAACAGCACATTGCAAGTCAGTCTCTAGACTTAGCAGAGGGGAGCAAGGATGCCTTCCAAGGAGTGGTGGGCCCGCATTCAACTCTCATTTCCTGTTATCACTCTCAGTGCCATTCCGATCAGTCTCTTCGGTTTTCACAGAGCTCCCCTCCCCTGGCTTGTTTTTGTTCTGTGTTTCTTCCAGATACTGTTGGACAGCCTTGAGCACTGCATTCTCCACCAGCCTCTTACTGAGCCTTACCAGTTCAGCATCATCGGGCTCCCCTGCGCTCTTTTCACCTACATTCCACAATAGAGAAGAGAGGTCACTGAGGTCATTTTGCCACAGAAACTTGGCATGCAGGGGCTGGCTAGTTCAGTTAGTGTAAGAGCAAGCGTCCTTCAATCTGCTAAACTGGATCTATAAAGCCGGGAAGAGTAGGTTGGTTTTTCATTTGGTAGTTGCAGAAGCAGGATCCTGCCTATTCCAGAAGACTTCAGGTTGAAAAGTAGTTCATTAGTCCCAATCTAGAAATACTCTACCAAGCGATACTGGAAGTTTCCCATTGTACATGGAGTTTTTGTTCTTCTCTCATCCAAGGCTAATCACTACTATTAACGTCCATGGCCCTGATATATGAATTTGCCAAGCAGATCCACGTCTGCTTCTCCCTTCTCCAATGCCAAGTATCAGCTGATCAAGATTTCCCTATCCTCTCATTACTTAGGTTCACAAATTTTTAAATGCTTGGCCTACAGGCCGGTTGTTAATAAACTCTCAGCATTCTCATGAAGACAAAGGCAGTTACTATTACTAGGAACCTGTTTAAAATAAGCTGTTAAAACTAATCTTTTTTTTAATCTCATTGCTATTGTTGCAATTTAAGATAGGAAATTCTTCAAAGAAGAGTTAGGATTATGATGGTAAATTACTAGATGTTACTATTTTTGGCCAATTTACTTCCCTGTTAGAGATAATCTAGGTTTAATTATCGCATCTTTCACTTTACTGTAAAAGAGTTGGTTCCCGGGCGGCCCGGTGGCGCACTGCTACAGTGTGCCGCTTGGGAAGCGCTGTGGCGCTCCCGACGAGGGTTCGGATCCCACATACAGACCGGTTCCCGCTCACTGGCTGAGCGAGGTGTGGGCGCAGCACCGAGGGTTGCGATCCCGTTGCCGGTCCCGGCCCGGTACGGGGGCAACACTGAGGGTTGCGATCCGTTGCCGGACACGAAAAAAAGACAAAAAGGAGAAAAAAAAAAAAAAGAGTTGGTTCCCATCTATTCTCATGCTACACATTTCCCATTCACTCTCCTCCTTGCCTCCCTTGACCGAGGAAAAGAACAAAGGGGTTCTTTCCCCATGTCCATTCCATGCCCTGTCTCCTTCCATCATGCTGTGGGCCCAGGAAGGCTGTGGTCGGAGGCAAAGAAATCAGTGCAGTGATCGCACATTAAGATCAGCTCAGTTTTAGAAGATCACCACGAGCTCCTGAAGGCAAAAGCCAGTGTTGCACTTGCATCTTCAGATACAAAGGGTGTGAGCCAGAATACGGACAATATTTTCTACTCTCACACGTAACAGGTATTGAAGAATAAGAGCAGATATGCCAAGGGTGAGACCTGACCCCCAGCCCTCCTTCAGAGACCCAACTCTTACAGGTAACACATGTCCAGGACCAATTTTGCTTCCAACCACCCTCATCATTCCTCATGGCATTCCAAGCAGAAGAGAGCATGGGTCAAGACCCTTCTAAAGACACTAACAGAGGGAAGCCTAAGCAACTGCTTTCCCTTCAAATGTGGTAATATGACACCCAAGACCCCTGATCAAAAGTCCAAGATAGAACATATGCAGTATAAAATGTTCCAAATTGAGTAAGCTTCAACTCAGTGATAACTCTATAGAATGCACTAAACATAAATATATTAAGATATTATTAAAAGAAAGATAAAGAAATGTATTACTAATATCACCTTTGGGGGCAAGTTAAGACTGTTTTAATTAGTGAGAATGAATGAGTATATTGCCTAATATTTAAAGGATTTTATCTCAGTCTTACAGCACAATGTTTACAGTGTATAGATGATATCTCCAAATGCATTACCTGGAACTATTTGTATGATGGCTCTTCAAATTGAAAAGGGAAAATCAAACTGCCAATGAACACTTTTTAAGTACCCTTCAAAACACCGTCAGTGATTCTCCACATCTGCCAAACTACTTGGTTGCATTGAGGCCAGAGATTGGGTTCCTGGGGGCTGTTCCTGAACCTAGTCAGCTTTTTCATCAGTAAGATAATAGGGCTGTATTTGAGTCTAATTAATAACTCAGTCTCCAAGACCTCTCTCATGTCCAATATTCTGCACTTCTGTGATTTCTGTTGGTTCACAATGAAGTATCCCTGTTACTTCAAACATTAAGAGGTTTAAAACACAAAAATCCTCCCACAAAAAGCTAATTTTTCCCTTCTGATTGTCCTATTTTTGTTTATGCTTATACTATTATCCAAGTTAATGAAGCTCAAAACAAGATTGTCACCATCTTTGATGACTTCCTTCCCTCGTCAACACACTCAATAACCAAGCCTTGTCAGTGTGTGCTTCACGGTTTCTCCCTTCTTCAGTGCATCTGGTGCAGCACCTCTAGATTAATATTTCTAAAATACCCCTTTCGCTCTCCACTCTACAGGAAAACTTAAGCTTGTCTTCCAAGGGTTTCCAAAATGTGCCTTTCCAGCCTGATCATCCATCACTGATGTGGAGTCACGGCACATCAGCTCCCAACATATCTCCTTTGCAGCCTCCACACCATTCCCTATTTCTACACGGCCCTCTTTCTCTCACCAATTAAAATCCCACCTACTCCATGAAGCCTTCCCTGACTATCCCAGCTGGAAGTGATGAGCCTCCACTGGATTCCAATAAGTCTAACTGCATGTATAGTACATGGCTGTTTGGTCATTCATTCAACAAGTGTGTACTGATGACGTACTAAATTCCTGGAACTCTTCCAGCCTACATGGGATATGGCAGTGAACAAAACAATATTCTACTGTTTTTTTCTCAATTTCTTTATAAATTATTAGTATTACTTATTAATGTATTCATTCAGCAACTATTGAATCAGTATCTGCTGTGCTAAAGAAACAGTCTTGAGTACAGAAACTGTACCCTAAGTTTCTCAGGTTATCTCCCGCTCTGCAAACATATACATGGATTATTAATCACAATAAGAGCTCAGTAAATATTTGCTAGTTGAGTGAATTGTTTATTGAAGTCCTTGAAGGCAGCAGCAACATTTTTAAAATGTTACTATCTTCCTATAATGATAGCCCACCATGGCCAGAAATTTAAATTTAATATTAAATTTAAAACAGCAGCAGAGAATTCCAGAATAATTGAAATATCCATGTGAAAAATCTCCATCTACTTTGCTTGATGAATGTGGTCAATAAGACAAAATACCTGACATATGGGACAAATATTAATTACCTACAATAACTGACTGACTGACTAACAATTCAAAAAATAAATTTATAAATGAATCTTCCAGATCCGTCCTGGACTCTAGCCTCCCTTTATGATTCCCACAAAGCATCCTTGGGGTATTAACATAAGTCCAGGGAAGAGCCTATAGGAAGCTTATCACAGAGCCCTGCAAGAATGCAGCAATTTAAGAAATGTGCATCCTCATTCCAATAAGAATTTGTGTTCCTACTTTTAACAAACTTAATTCAACTTAATTAAAAAGAGGCATTTTAAGATTAAAGTTATGCTGTATTTTTCTTCTGCCCACTACTTGAATAAAGATATCTGTCTCCCACAGTGATAATATGATAAATAACTACTTCCATTTTAACTGAAGCCTAGTTAACAATAGCAGTTCAACAATATGCCGCTAAGACATACAGACTATCTTTTGATATTACAACAAAAGTATATATAAAAACATTCCCAATGTAAGCAACAAACTCTGGATACAAATATTCTTTCTTGGACTACTTGGGTTACTTAATATCATATCTATTTAAAATGACAGATTAACCTTTGTCTTAGCCACTGTTATTTTAGAAATCCTCTTAGAACATCCTTGATCAATTTCTTAGGTGTATACTAAAAATATAAATGAAAGGTAATAAAAAATCTTTTACACTCAACAAACATAGTACTGTCTCTAAAAGAACAGTCTGAAGAAACTTTTCAACTAACTTCAAATAAGTATTTCCATTCTCTGTAAGAGTTGTAGCATCATTAATCCAGGATGTGTACCTGTGACTCTATTTTTGTTTATATTACCTGAGATCTCTGTAACCAACCCAGCACAGGGATAAAATTTATCTTAGTGGTCATAAAAAAGAAAATAAGTGAACACCTTTGTGGTAACAAGAATATTTCACACCAATTATGATAATTTAAGGTCAACCTTAATGTGGTTCGGCTGGTCTTCCG